AGATAATACAAGAGAATTGAACAGGACGAAAGGTTTCATCAAGATCTTCAGATGTTGGGAGAGGAAGAGAATAAAGTCAATGTAAGATTTTAATATTTTAATTTTTTGTGATATTTTCATCCTGCCAAAAATAAACAAAAACATAATGCGACTAATAATAAGGAAAACCAAGACCAAATCACTTTATCGCAGGTCAACAAGGCCATTGCATCGGCAATTAACAACAAAAGTGAAACATCAACCCTAGAATGCACCAACAACTACGTTACCAACAACTACGTTAACAAAAGAGATGCAGAATGGACTATGGCAAAAACACGCAAAACAAAAAAAGATGATAGCTCGAACAAGAACAAACGGCCTACACCAGCTATAGGCATAAACGAAAACAAAACAAATCTTAAGGTAGTGGAGTTTGCTAATAAAAAACAGGACCCACTATCTTGGATCTTTGTCACCGGGTTTGATCCCAAAACAAACGAACACGATATATTGGAATTCCTTAAGGACAGCAATCTAAATGAGGGCTGTCGTTGTTTCAAAATGATAACAATGAAAGACAATATAAAAAGTTCTTTTAAACTTGGTGTCCCAGCCAATAAGCTAGAACAAATAATGGATAATGGTTTGTGGCCGACAGGTGCACTTATAAACCATTTTCAGAATCTACAGCGCCCCATTGTTTTCCAACCCAACCAGAAGTAAACAGTGGGCAGCAGTTAGCACTATTTCATTTGAATATCCAGTCAGTTAGAAACAAGATAGATGAACTCTATGCCTTCCTTCATGATAAGACCATTGACATTTTATGTCTGACCGAACACTGGATGTCAACAAGTGAAATTTCGGCCCTGTGCATAAAGGGGTATGTATTGTCTACATCCTACAGCAGATCCCAGGTCCGTGGAGGGGGAGCAGCCATCCTTTTGAATATTAATATGTTGTCTAAAGAAATTTTACAAGTAAAATCCTTGACTATAGTAAATAATATAGAAATCTGTTCTGTCTTTTTGACTGATCTAAATGTTTATGTAATAACTTGTTATAGACCTCCCTCAGGTTGTTTTGATATATTTCTGGAGGTTATAGAAAATGCGATAAACTTGATAGGTTTCAATAAAAATATTCTATTAGCAGGTGACTTTAATGTACATTTTGGTACCACATCACGGGAGTGCATTGACCTTTGCTCTTTTCTGAATTCATATGGGTTCACTCAACTCATTTTTGAACCAACTAGGCAGGACAGTTGTTTGGACAATGTGTTCGTTAGCTTTGGTGCTGATGGATGCAATTCTGAAGTTATTGAAACGGGACTGTCAGATCACAGAAGACAGCTGGTAAACTTTCCTGTACCTCAAAAATATGCAACGTACATCACTGAGACTGTCATATGTAGACCGATAACCCAGCAGGGTAAGATTCTTTTTTACATGTGTGTTGATCAAATTTCTTGGGATTTTGTTGATAGAATGGATCTTTCCGCGAATAAAAAATTTGCACTATTTATTCATCATATTTCTTTGGCATTCGATACTTCATTTCCAGTTAAACAACATCTTAAACGTATGAACCAAAGCCACACTACAAATTGGTTTAATGAGGATCTTCGACAGATGCGTGACACTTTGCAGTTTTTGAGAGAATTACACACTAATAACACAGGCATTGAACTGACAAATCTTTTCAAGTCACACAGGAAATTCTATAAAAAAGCAATAAAATCGGCCAAAAAAGCTTCTAATGACCGATTAATCCTAAATTCTCCTAATCCTAGCAAAGCCATGTGGCAAATTATAAATGAAGCGAGGGGTGTTCAAAAGAAAAAGGAAACCACCTGTACCATTTCTCCTAACGACTTTAACAACTTTTTTGCGGATATTGCCTTGAACTTACAGAGCCAAGTTAACCAGGCTTTAGCTGACCCTACAGAAAATATTCCTACTTTTTCTCATCATCCATTCACTTTGGGTCATGTTAGTTTTGTTGAAATTCGGGATGTTATTAATCAACTCAAAAATAAAAAAAGTAAAGATCCCTTTGGACTTTCTGTTGAATTGGTGAAAGGCATCAGAAATCTAATAATCTCTCCTCTCACAAAGCTCATTAACTTCAGTATCAACGAAAACACTTTCCCTGATATTTTGAAACAAGCAGTAGTAATCCCAGTTTTCAAAAAAGGTGACGCCAATGATGTATCAAATTACAGACCTATCTCATTGCTGCCTATTTTTTCAAAAATATTCGAAAAATGCATGTCTTTGAGTATTAGTAAATTTTTGGAATCTAATGAACTTTTTTACAAGCAACAGTTTGGCTTCCGAAGGGGACGAAGTACAGCTCTTGGAGTGCTGGATCTGGTATCAGCTATACACGGGGCCTTTGAGGGGCGAGGGTATCTGGCAGGCAGCTTTTGTGACTTGAGTAAAGCGTTTGATTGTGTGGAGCATGAAATACTTCTGGCCAAACTTCCAAAATACAACTTTGATCAATCCAGCATCTCCCTAATCAGAAGTTACTTGTCTGGACGACGCCAAGTGGTGCAGGTTGCTGGGGTGAAGTCAGATGAAAGGGATGTACAAATCGGAGTGCCCCAGGGTTCTGTCCTGGGTCCTCTTTTATTTTTATTATACATAAATGATCTTCCACAAATAGATTTAGATGCTCATTACACCCTTTTTGCTGATGACACCACAATTGCCTGCTATGAAAACGAGCTGGATCAAGCTATGGAGCGCACTCGTGCTGCACTTTCTAGAGCTGAAGGATGGTTTTCCACCAACCGCTTATTTCTCAATGCCTCTAAGACCCAAGCACTCGTCTTTTCCACCCGTGCACTGCCTAATGTGAATGAAGCTTCCAGTGTTAAGTTCTTGGGTGTCCATCTGGACCCCGGGCTGCGCTGGGACGCCCATACTGATGCCTTGTGCTCTAGACTCGCTTCAAATGTATTTTTGCTGCGTGGTCTAACTGGCTCCGTGTCGCATTCCGTGCTTAAGCAAGGATATTATTCATTGGTGCATAGCCATATTTCTTATGCTATCATTGCATGGGGTCACAGTGCAGGAGCCACAAGAGTTTTTAGGCTTCAGAGGAGAGCGGTTCGGATATTGGCAGGGTTGTCTTATAGAGAAGATTGTAGGCAGGCTTTTATAGATAACAATATTCTTACTGTTCCGTGTCTATTCATATATGAGTGCCTTGTGTACTTGAGTAGTAACCTGAATGGTTATCGGTCTCATGTTGACATCCATAATTATGACACTCGTAACAGACATTGTTTGGTACCAAATTACCATCGGCTTGAGAGGTGCAGGAGTGGTCCTAGCTGTTTCTCAATCCATTTTTTCAACAAGTTGCCTGGTTCTTTCAAGAGCCTACCAGAGGAACAGTTCAAGCAAAAAATTAAAGGCTTCCTGTGTAGTCAAGGATTTTATAGTTATACAGAGTTTTTAAGTCATGAATTTTAATTTTAATGTGTAATAGGTTTGTTGTTATATGTATAGGTTTTGTCTTTTTAAATGCAGTTTTGTCTTTTTTAATGGAGTTTTACCTGTAATAGTTTTTTTTCATTTTATTTTATTTTAATTTATATAATTGACTTTTTTGTCTATTTTAACTTTGTATTAGTCACTGTAATTTTAGCATTTATCGGTCTGTTTTTCTTCTAAATAATATGTATAGTGCTCAGCATAATTTTTGTAATTTTTGTAATTTTTATGATAAATGTAAGATTTATTTATATGACTTGTGTAAGGTAAAATTGTATTTATAACACCAATAAACTATTTTGATTTTGATTTTGATTTTAATACTGTTTAATTTTTAATTTTTAGGTGGCTTTTTTATAATACCTATGTTGGAGGAATCGAGGCATGTGTGATAAGATCAATTGGAAATTGGAATCATTGTGCCCGGTCTGTAGTTGGACTGGCAGAAAAGGGAATTTGAAAATAAAGGATCTTGCATTAATGCAAATCCTTACGATATATTAAATATCTATCATATTATAGGTTTACAATATTTCATTATGTAAATTTCTGTAAAGTACCAATAAAAATATTGCAACTGTAATATTTATCTAAGTTTATAAACAACGTTAAATGCAGGTTTCTGTAAGCTAGCATTTTTAATGTTACAAACGTAATTTATTTTTTTATGAAAATACAAGTTTGAGGCGATATTGCAGAAAAGTTTATTCTATAAACATTGCATTTGTGAATATTAGAATAAGTCCGTTTCAGTAATTGCAGCAACCTTGCACTTATATACCAACAATAAAAAATTAAATATTACATTATCTAGAAACATTACTAAAATATTGATGCGATATTACATTGCTTAGTGGGAAGAACTCGAGAGTTTACTAGCCCTGGATTAAAAAAAACTTGGATAAACACCTTTCGACTTGAACTAGGTAGTTAGCCCAGAGTTAGAGTTAACCCAGGGTCAGCAAACTCTGCGAGTTATCCCTTGATGGATAAACCGGCCCTAAGACACATTAATGAAGAAACATCTAGAAGAATTAAGATTACGAATCAAGGAAACTTAACAAGGCGTAATGAAAAGGACATTGTGAACGTTACTCTGAAGAAAGTCTGAGATCTCGCTCCCCTTTGATGATCCGATCTCAGTATTCGATGGAAAATTTTGTTAACAGTACGATGAAACGGGCAAAAGATCGCCAACAAAATGGAAAAAAAAAATCTGGCGATGAGCGAAGCAAGAAAACCCCAAACTTGCCTGGACCAAGAAGGATTCATCGGACGTCAAATAAGACCTCTGATCAGATAGTGTGAAGGGGGCTTCAAGTAAAAGAAGTACCACCTCATGATCCGCCACTGAATTTTTCAAAAAAACACTTTTTCCTTTAACGAGCCGCCAATGAAATCGTATACACAAGATAAAGCCCCAAAAGATTGAGTTCTTAATAGGGGGAGCCCTTAAAAGGCGCCCGGCCAGCCCCCCCCTTGCGCACGCTTGTTGTCCGGAGTAGTACTGGGGGGCCACATAGGCGCGCGCAACGACTTTTTCAGAATGTTTGACCCACACTAAACTACATTACCGCAGCAGAACCGAGCTCGCTGCAGTCACGAGCGAATCGCCTTCGATTTCCGTCGTTAGAACAAAAAAAAAAGAAAAAATAAAGTCGCGTTTCTATAAAGTGTTGGTTTTATTTAATGAGAAAGACTGTGACATTTCCGATTAACTTACTCGAGTGAAAATGTGCGATCAACACCAACAAAGTCCGTCCATAACTTCGACGCAAAGCATCGCTGATTATTTGGCTCAGCTATTGAAGGACAGGAAACAGCTAGCAGCTTTTCCTAATGTTTTTCTTCACGTTGAACGCCTACTAGATGAAGGTAAGAAGTCAATTTTTCTGTATAAAATAAAATAGCATGTGATTTTTTGCTTGAAACGTGACCTCATAATTATTAGCAACAAACTTTAAAATTAATTAATTAATGTCCAATTATCAAGGCGAAGATTTTCTTTCACACAAATGAAATTTGAGCTGCGACGTGTGTGTTTGTTTACTTCCAAAAATTGGAAAGACGAAAATACAATGTTGGGCACTGTTGCTTTGCAAATTCCTTTGAATGAACGACTTTGCCACGTTGCCAGAATTACCTATAGGAATTTCTATTTTATGTATTTCATTATAGTTTATAATACTTTTGATTTAATTTCGTATCCTGTGTTGTTGTATTTGAAAATTATATTGGTGCAGATGTAGATGTGCGTTTTTTCGCTGACGTTATTTTGACAGATAAACAATAAACAATGCGTCAAAGTTCATATGTAGTTTATGCTATCTTTTTCTAACATCATTTTATAAAAATAGATAGATATACATTTTTTCGTCTGAACTGTCAATCTGAAATTTAAAAAGGCCTACTATAGCTCTGCTCCAACCAATGACCAGTCAATCAATTCATTTGTCAAGTAGGATAAACGTTCAACTTATTGAAAAACTGGAAATTACACGTTCTGAAACGGTTCTCGTGTCTGTTGGAACGGAGCTATTAGGTCTATTCTCACAGGAATCAAAAACCAGTTGTATTGTGACTTCTTATTGTGAAAGACCTAATGAATATGAGAACGAGACTCTTGTTTCAAAATTTATCTTATTAGAAGAATTTTAACAGCTAAAAAATATCAAAATTCATTCATATCCAAGGCACATAAACAATTCATATTGAAATACAAAACTTAGAAATATCATATTTTCTTCTTTGCTGAAATTGCTAGCTTTTGCTCCTCAACAGGGCATTTAAATCTGGAAATCCATCTGACTATAAATCATCATGTTTCCAGACACTGAATTTCAAAACTTTTCTTCAGAGAACTTCTTACATTTCCCCAAATTATAAAAGCACCAATAATCTGAAATTCCGTCAAATTTGTTACCATTCTGGAAGTTTGGCAACGTAGCAACAGTGTGGGTAGGCGTGGCTTTTTTTATGGTTCACAGGCTCGCCTATTATGTTTAAAGCAAAGCCGGCAGATAAACTTTAAATCTTCATTTTAATTATTTAGAATCTACATTTAATTGTCATGAACATTCAGACTACCATCTGTTATTAAAAATATTCAAATTTTACTCCTATTATGAGATTACTTTGTTCAATGGTCAATAATAATGAAATAGTTGGGTATATATTCCTAGAAAAAGGATTTCTATTTATACCATTCCATCTACCTACCTGGCTTGCCCTTGGGTAGATTACATTTTTCAAAAAGTATAGTCAAAGATACCTACAATATACAAATAAGCAAACTTGATTACCAACCAATAGAAAATAGATCAATATTATTACAAACATTATCTCTCGATAATCTCAAATGGTTGATTATCATTCGTCAAACCTTCAAACCAATAATTTTCCACCACAGTAATATTTATCTTATAGATCTACCTGTTGCACAATAACACCTGAAAAATAGACAGACAAAAGGGCCCCCTTTTTATTATTCCACAAGTGCTTTAATCTACCTGTTGAAACATTAGGGAGAAGGGTCAGACATCAAAAGAGGAATTCCCATGATTATAAAAATAAAATGTATTCAGTCAGGTGAAAAAGGCATGAAGTAAAATCCGGTCTCTGGTGGATGAGTTTGATTTTTAAATTTTTCCTTGTAATAATAATGATTAAAAAATATTGTTTAGTTGTACTGTACGTTGTACCTTTTGTGACATACCCTGTATACTTTTAACTAACTTCATTGCAAAGTTTCTAATATTACCTACAACTTTCACATTTGACATAGGTATTTTGGTACCTATCTCTTCAAACAGGTGAGATAGGTGTGGGTGCAAAATATAGACAACAGGGGGGGTTTATTTGAAATGTGCAATTCAAATTCGTCTGACAAAGTCGCATTTTTTAGCATTGAAATACCGGCAAAAATTGCGACTTACTCAGACGTATTTGAATTGCACGTTTCAAATAAACCCCCCCAGATAGGGAATACCATTTTGGTTGTATAAGGTCTTTGTTCTTCGTTGCTATAAGAGCAAAAAGGATGATTGAAAATGTTGGTTTTAGTACTGAGGCTCTACCTTATGATTTAAATTTTAGAAAACTTTGAAAGGTCATAACTTTTTTCTATTATAAATAAAAAGCTGAAATTTTCAGCGCGATTCTTATCGCAGTAGAGGACTAGAATCCCTGAAAATTGCAGCTCAGTTGGACTTATAGTTTCTGAAATAAAATCGTGTTAAGCAATTTGGGGGTGATTTATCAATTTTTAAATTTTTCTGAGTGCCTATATTCATAGAATTTGGTTCCAAATCCCAGAATAATTTAGTGTATGGAGTTTGAGGGATCCCAAAAGACCATTAAGATACAAAATCTCAACAAAAAAATGTTCAAATTTCATCGTTTTAGTAGTAAGGTAACTTACCTTATGATTTAGATTTTGGAAAACTGAAACGTCATAACTTTTTTCCAATTATAGATAGAAAGCTGAAATTTTCAGCGATTCTTATCCCAGTAGAGGACTACAATTCCTGAAAATTTTAGCTCATTTAGACATAGTTTCGGAAATAAAATCGTGTTAAGCAATTTGGGGTGATTTATCAATTTTTCAATTTTTCCAAGTGCTTTTTTCCATAGATTTCGGCTTCAAATCTGAGAATAATTTAGTGTATGGAATTTGGGGGATCCCAAATGACATTAGGACATCAAATCTTAACAAAAAAAAATTGAAATTTCATCCATTTAGTAAGGAGGTACCTAGGAAGGTACCTACCTTATGATTTAGATTTTGGAAAACTGAAACGTCATAACTTTTTTCCAATTATAGATAGGAAGCTGAAATTTTCAGCGATATCCCAGTAAAGAATTACAATCCCTGAAAATTTCAGCTCATTTGGACTTATAGTTTCTGAAATAAAATTGTGTTAAGCAATTTGGGGTGATTTATCAATTTTTCTGAGTACCTTTTTTCATAGATTTCGGCTTCATATCCCGAAATAATTTAGTGTATGGAGTTTGGGAGATCCCAAAGGACCATTGAGACACAAAATCTCAACAGCAAAAATATGGAATTTCATCGTTTTAGTACTGAGATAGCTACTTTATGATTTAGATTTTGGAAAACTTTGAAAGGTCATAACTTTTTTTCTATTATAGTTAGAGAGGTGAAATTTTCAGCCATTCTCATCCCAGTAGAGAACTACAATCCCTAAAAATTTCAGCTCATTTGGACTTATAGTTTCAGAAATAAAATCTCGTGTATCACCTGTCAGAACATGAATGAATCTTCAGAAAAAAAATGAAAACTCAATTTGAAGCTATTTTTTTTATATATTCAATCTTTTAAAGTGCAAAACCATACCAAGCATGCAGTGGCCCATCTCTTATATACATTTTTTTTTTTTTCTTTATACAGGGTGTCCGTTTTAAGTGATACCACTATTGATATCTCCGGAACGGTAAGAGGGGCGAGGTCGGTTAAATTAAATAAAAGTGGCAAATTTTAGTATTCATTGAAGGTAAATTCACGTTCAATGCAAAAGTTCAAAGATTCTTTCTTCTCTACAAAATGGCGTTTGTTATCTTCACACAGCTTCTTTATAGTTGTGTTTACATTTTACCTCAGAGTCCTCAGAGGCTTTATATCTCAGAAACTAATAAAAAATTGGCAACCCTGGAACCCTGTGCATTTACCTCTAATGGATATTAAAATCTGCCATTTTTATTTAATCAACCCGACCTCATACCTCCTGTTTCAGAGATAGCAATAGTGGTATCACTTAAAACGGACAGATAATTTGGCATCCGTGAGTATGTCTGAACATTTCTCTCTGAGATTTTTTATATTGGTTAGACCAGACATACCTTTTCAATGGTTGATATGTATTATGAGGTTCATAGGTTGTAGTATTTTCTTTCAGTTTAGTAATACTCGTGTCACTAGTTTAGTACTTGCGCCTGGTCTGAGGCCCCGCGGGGCCCCCAAGATCACGGGGCCCCCCCGCAACTGCGGGCCCTTAGTTACGCCACTGCAAGCATGTTGTATCTCAATTCTATAACTACTTCTAGAGAAAAACTGACTACGCTACTGAAATCTACATGAAAAGATCTATAGGAACTTGTTGTCACCTTTTAGAACCTAGATACAAAGGGTGACCTAGAATGCAACATTTTCAAAAACATCTTGTATCTGAAAATAGAAAGTTGTTTTTGAAAATAAGTTTAAGGTTTTTTTCTAACTCCAATACCAACTGAGTTATCCCTCATGAATCAAAATGGGACACCCTATACAACTTGACAAAGTAAATGATTTTGCAAAATTTACATACTTAATATTATTGAAAATATGATAAGAGTAATTATTATATAGGGGTCCATTACTATTGTACCTACTAATTGGTTGAATAATGGGCATTTTCAACCCCTAATGCGGGTACGGTATTGATAATTTTGTTCTGATGGGAGAATGCTGAAAATCAAATAAAAACAAATCTGGTTGCCATCTGTGCAACAACCGACCTGATTTTTGACCCTAGAAATTCAGTTTCGAAGCAAAACTTCCACAATCTTTTAACAAATTATCTATTTAACGATTGCTCAGAGTAAGACAAATTATTACAAGTCATTAAAATACCCGCCATGGCCATATTTTTAGAACGGAAACGCGATGTGATGTCATTTTTTTAAAAGATTCTCTTACGGCAATAATGCAATAATACATAAGCTGACAGTTAACTAAAATTATCTCTCTTGCCTGTCTATGTTGAAGCAATTAAAAATACAAAATTACAAATTGTGCTACACACATTTTGCGTTTATTATTTGGCACCCGATTTTCCTGGCAAAGTGGAAAATAAATGATTTTTTTTTTCCTCTGGATT